CGGGGGAGCATGCCCTTGGACCCCCCTAGAGGAGGTGAGGTCCACCACCTGCCCACACCCCCTGTTAAATTGTCTCACATTTCTTACAGTTTGTGAAAAGGTCTTCTGATCAGGGCTTTATAAATAAATATCTACGGCAGATATGTAATATTTAAGGAAGCCGAACCGTGGATTACAATGCCGTTATGTGATGACTTTCAAAGGAGAAAAGCAAGAACACTCGGAATAAAGTATTATCGATTTCATATCATATAAACACCATATCCCGAAATGCATTGCGGATAAAATAATCGATGTTTTAGCCTATCAAAACCTCTGAAAAAAGAAAGGTGTCTCTCAGAATCAAAAGAGAAAAACCTATGGGAAAAACACAAAAGCATTGTACACAATTTAAACCAATAAATGTTGTATAATTAACAAGGATAAACTGATGTTTTTTAGTGGATGAGTACTGCAGATATCACTGTTAAATCATTTGATCATTGGTTTTATTATGAAAATGTCGAGACCGGAAATACTGTTTTCAACTCGCTAACTTTACATGGAAGCTGCCGCATATACGTTATCTTGGCGAAACCTCAAATCATCTTCGTAATATCTATCAAACTATAGATCCTACACATCCACTGGATGTGGATTCTAACAGTACAATATACACTTCTCGCTAGAAATCTAATCAAAAAGCGTTTTCATGGCAAAACTATCCTACAATTTAGGATTTTACAGAGAGGGTTATTTGTGAATAAACGACCATCTTTAACGTTAGCATTCAATGGGAGCACTAGAGGGCGAAAACGTTAAAACGTAATTATAGGACGTATTAAGCGCTTGAACAACCGAGATATTTGGTCGTAATAAGGGCCTGAACAATCGGCCCATTTGGTCGTATGAGTTGGAGGACTTGTTGGTTCAATCCTATAAGAGTTGCTCAGTGGGGCATTATGCCAAAATGGCCTGACTCTGAAGAGCATGTCATTACGTTTCGCTTAAGCCCCGCGTCCAATCTGCAACGTCAGTGCCGATCTTTGCTCAGTCAAATTAATGGAGAGAGAAAATCACTCGGATTTGGCTTGTAGCGCCTGTCACAACTATTGGACCCTGATGGCTTAAATAAGAGCTATTCCTCTCTTTATTAATGAAAGTAAATTGGAAAAAGTATTTTTGGGACCAATGCATCACAGACTGACACATAAGTTGTAGTACCACCATTTGGGCACTCCAAACATTTGCTTTGACATCCAGCGCACTTCCTGGGGGCTTGGTAAAATCATCTTAAAGGTCCTCTAGTTATATACAGTCCAAGATACATCAAAATCAATATTTAACAACACCAACAGTTTTGAAGTGTGTGTAAGTTGCTTTGGACAGCTAAATGACATGTTGTTAATTTACACAAACCTCTGCCTGCTATCTCCACCTAAAGATTCCAGTCGCCATCAAAACATAGACAATGTTTTTTCCCCACAGACACATACCAAGCACTGTAAAAGTGTTACAAAGTAAGGCAACAAAGTAAGGCAAAAGCCAAACCATACACTGGAAAAACTGAAACATTGACTTAAATTAAATGTATTATGTCAACAGATTTCACATAACTTTATTGGGTTAGTTGAAAGCAATAATATATAACTGAAGTCCTTACAAGTGAACCCACACTCACACACTCCTGGTGAACCTGAGGCAGCTCATTCATGAGTTACCTGATACGTGGCTGCGTCCAGGTTGGACAAGGCAACATAGAGCAGATTGTTCTGCAGTGTGTAGATCCCCGCAGGAATGGCCAGCTTCAGGGTCTCCACGGGCTTGTTCACAATCTCCTCCTTCAGCAGCCGCACGCTGAAATCTGGCAGACAGAGCGTTTTTAGATGGGACCACCCGGGATTGAAGAGAAACAGTTGGTAAAAGGCCTTACTCACTGTTCTCCATGAATACGATGAGGGTGCAGACAAGGATTTTGAGCACCTCGGCCGACACCACGGCGGAGGAGGCCAGGTAGCGCGGGCCGTCCTCCTTCAGGGTGCGGGAGTACCGCATGGTGAGCACCAGAGAGGTGGTCTGAAACACCAGGACCCCCAGAGACACATACTTTAGCCTGGAGGAGTGGGCCGGGTGCAACACCATCGTGGAGGACTCAGGCTCTGAGGTAGAAGACAATGATGGAGTCTTTGGGACACACAGAAGATATAAAGAGAGAACAAAGTGTGGTTCAGTCAGAGGAACAAGGCTCAACCCTTCCACTCCTACCAATGAGAGACTAATGGAGTGTCTCCTACAGCATGAAACTTCTGCTTTGGGACCTTTCTGTGCATTATTACTCAATAAAGTAAAAATGTGCAACTATGCAGTCACATTTGTTCTATTTCTCTTTCTTCTTGCAGTATTTTTATGATGCATTATTGGAGGGCATGGGACTTGGTTAGCTATTCTGCATATGACATTAAAGCCTTTGACTCTTGGATTTGAAACTATGAAGCTAGCCTAAATCCTTAATCATAAAATTTGCATCAATATCTCATACACTAACTAGGTTTTGGAAATACATGTATGTATTTTATGCTAAACAAGAGAGCTTTAAGAATGCAACAGAGCTGATCACCATGAACAAAGCAAAATATTATATAATAATATATAATATACTGTATATATTTGAGTTGTGTAAGGTGACACAAAATAAATAAGTAAGTAAACCTTAGTTCAATTCAAAGGAGGATAGAGTGGGGGTCTCTGAAGACCCTGAGAGGAGGACATTTAGGAATACTGGTCAGTATTTAAAAGGCAGTTAAACAGAGTGCAGCCTTGGGCACTGCAGGGCATTCCTGTTAGTGACCCACATAAAACAAAGATCAGAGCAGAACCAGGAGTAATGGGGACAGGGTCAAAAACATATAGACTATTTTACAGCACAATAAGTTCAAAAGGAAAAATTGTCATATACTCTACGTAGTATGCAAATATTATCTCAAATGTCAATCGTAAGGCTGAAACTTAAAATACACAAATGAGGCAATATCTTAAAGGGGCCCTATTATGTTCATTTCCATGTTCATATTTGTATTTAGTGTCTCTACTGTTCAAAAAGCTCTTTATTTTTCTCATACTGCAGCACCTCTTTTCACCCTCTGTCTGAAACCAGAGCCCAGTCTCCTCTGATTGGTTAGCTGGCCGGATCTGTTGTGATTGGTCCACCGCTTAGAGATGTCCCGCCCCTTACCATCACGTACAATTTGTTGGAGAAGGGCGGGTGTTACATAGGGACGGAGTGGCGCAGTGGGCTGTGCGTTGATCATCAGATCAAGGGTGGCGTTGGGGAACCAGTTCGAAACCTGCCCCCGCCACCACCGCGTCAGGCCGTTGTGTCCTTGGGCAAGACACTTCACCTGAATTTGCTCCTGTGGGTATTGCCCACAGTACATGACCGTTACATGTATGATATGTGTGTAATGTATGATATGTGTGTAATGTGTATTTGTAAAGCGCTTTGAGCATCTAGATAAATGTAAGGAATTATTGATGTCACTATATAAGTAAACAAAACAAAAATAACAATCTACAGGAAAGGGAAAACCCCAAAAAGCATAATATGGCCCTTTAAGACACTATTCTTACGTTTCCTAAAATTGTAGTTTTCAATATCATATTGGAGCATTATCTTCTGAAATACATACATATTTCCGAAACATAAATCTGAAACATTGGATAAAGCTAGGTCCCGTTTTTATGCGAGTTTTGAGATTTTTCCAAAGGAATTTTTGGATTATTTGTACCATAGGCTACATCTGAAAATACTGGCAACAGCCTTAAAATGATCCATATCCGCCATGTTTTCAGAAACAAAATGTGCTTTGCATCAGTCTGTGAATAATGTAAACATAGCCTACCCCTCTGTAAAAACGTCCAAACTATAGAAAGGAATTGAACTGGAAAGTTTGTAAGTGATAGTGAAGTGAAGATTCCTGGTCAAGCTTGGTCAGAGAAGCCAGTGAGAAAAAACCTTCAGTTTGAAAGAACACATGCAAAATAACCCCAAATCTCCAGACTTGTGACTCATGCTGAGGAAGCCTTGACAACTTGTGACTCATGCTGAGTCACAAGTTGTCAAGGCTTCCTCAGTCAGCAAGTTTGATGTCTTTTTCACTGAAACGGTTTGTATCTCATCTCTCAGCCTTCCACAAAGCCTTTTTCGATTGTTTAAATGACTATTTTAACCCATAGGCTGTCATGCATTAATGTTTAGGTTGGGAGTATTGAGATCATTATTACCGGTCTTGTATCTGGGGAGTCCTGGAGCCAGGCAGACAGACATTCTTCCATCTTGTGCGTTACATTTCCTGACTGAAGCATCTCCGAACAGCCGCTTTCACTTTAATTCGTCACCTCATCCACCTGCCATACAATTTAAAATAATATCTTGTCGGCAGAGAGTATAGTATAAGGCGAACCATGCTAAACTTCTGCAGCGATGTCCCTTCTGCAGTCCGCTCCTTCGAAGTGAAGAGGAACGGAGGCACGTTGGCTCTTTTTTATAAGGTACAACTGCAGAGTATTAATAACTGGCGTCTGCGCTAACACAACCACCATGTATCACCACCATTTTTTGTGTGTGATTATAATACACTAATTACTTCCTTATTTCAGTTATATTTCTAATTTCAAGCAAATTAAGACGACTGAAGTTTTTGGGTAAAAATAACGCAGCAAAGAGAATGTTTGAATCGTTTTTGTTTCACTTGTATTGCTAAGTTGAGGGACAAAGTCCACGAAGCAACATCATAAAGTGCTGGTGTCACAGGTATCCTTATTAAAGAGGATATACAACAAGCCACAAAGGCCAAAAAAGTGTTGACAGAACAAGGGGTGGGGTGTGGGTTAGGGTTAGGGTTAACACACTGCCCTCCTTATATATGTGGCAGCTGCTTAGCGGAGGGGCACGGCTGCACAATCCCTCTCTCTGTGTGTGTGTGTGTGTGTGTGTGTGTGTGTGTGTGTGTGTGTGTGTGTGTGTGTGTGTGTGTGTGAGAGTGTGTGAGTGTGTGAGTGCAGTGAGTGTGTGTATCCCACCAACAAACTCTCCTCTCTTTTCAAGCACTTTTCTAAGAACACTATCGACTTTCATTTTCAGTTGCCAGTCACAAGGCTTCTCACACTATGTTCATTTTTGGTTTTTGCTTACATTTAAAGATGGAAAGTTATTTAATAAAGACACAACAGGCAACACTTAAGTACAATGTTTAATTTTAAGAGTTCGGGCTATTTTGCTTCCATGACATGTGTTCTTTTAGGCTAGTGTGTGTGGGGGGAATCTAACAGTCATTGAGGTATTCATTTCACTTTCTTTGTATTTTTAAATCATTGGATAATGCACCATATGCATACCATCTAAAAAAACGTGTTATTCTTCATGGCTGTTGACGACAGTCTTTTCTAATTTATGGAGTGATCAAAGGAGAAATCCCAAATTCCCTCATTAAAAACCTTTTACTATTATGTGTGAACAAAGTAGGCAGCATTTTGAACCAACCAATGTTCACATTTCTGTTCTAGAAATGTACGGAAATAAGCGCAGATTTATTAAAGGGACCCTGTTCTGCTCATTTTCAGGTTAATATTTGTATTTAGTATACCTCTACTGAATGTCTCCATGCTCTAATGTTCAAAAAGCTCTTTATTTTCCTCATACTGCCTGTGCTGCAGCACCTCTTTTCACCCTCTGTCTGAAACCAGAGCCCAGTCTGCTCTGATTGGTTAGCTGGTCGGCTCTGTTGTGATTGGTCAACCGATTAGATATCTCTCGCCCCTTAGCCGATATCACGTACAATGTGTTGGAGCACTAGCCAATGGAAGCGCAAGTGTTACATAGTGATGTCACTGTGTTACTGAAGTAAACAAAGGAGTGTAACGGAGGCGTTTCAGGCAGCCATATGTCAGGTTTGTGAGATCCTTATTTACCTGCCACTGAATGGGAAAAGAGTCCAGATGTTGTACTACAGGTTAAATGAACAGAACACCTGCATCGTCTAACACAGTGAAACGTTTGCAGGGAAACAAAATGGGAAAGACCTGAGCTTATGACAGGAAGATGTCAAGATGCAAATGAATACTGTAACACAATGTGATATGTGCTTCCATCACAGAACGGCCCTGCAGGGTCCAAAGTTTAAGCATTCCCCCCCCCCAAGACTTCACAAAGTTATTCAAAGAAACACGTACCAACCAGGAAGAGACTCAAAATGACCACAAAGAGACCAAATCAATGGCTAAGAGAAAAAAAACATCCACAAACAGACACAGAGACACTCACAATGAAAAAGAGGCAGAACAACCAGGAAGAGATTCAAGAAAACCTCCAGGCAAACAATCCACAAGAAAGCTTTCATAGAGGGAAGTGAACCTCAAAAAGCAGATCAATAGCCTGAATCATGTTTTCAAACTGTAGGTGGTGCTAAATTATATTATTTGTTATTTAATAGATGTTTTTTCTAAAACTCAGTGATTGATTCATTCATACCGGTAGGACTACTAGCTCAAAACTCATATGTGCAATATTATCAATTATCGAGCGTGATTTTAGGTTAATAGTTGTTTATACTCTGCATAACTTTAAGATAAGATAAGATAAGATGGTACTTTATTGATCCCAATTTGGGAAATGTTTGTGTTACGGAGCGTCCACACAGCAGTGTGCGTTGGCGCTTGGCGGTGGGCGTGTCTGAAGCTTGGGGAGTCAACCCGAGCAACGCGACCAATAACCAATCACATGAATCTCCCGCCCCCCGACAAAGCAAAATGCTAGCATTCCATGCTAGCTATATATACTGTCCATGCCTGCTAGCTGTCCATTCAATGTTTAAACGAGGTACACTGGATATAAACTCCCCAAACAGGCGAAAACCTACCAGTTTCACCCACTATCTCTGCCACCTCCCTCCATGCCTGGCTCCTCCGGTTTGTATCCCGGTAGATGAACAGAGACTGATCATACAGCACCGGGTGATTCACTACTCGCAGCATACACGCGGTTTGATTGGCAACAGTTGTACTGGCAGATTTTCATAAACGGGATTTGATTGGCTGACGCTTCCGTCGAAGCTTCAAAAGTTGAACCATCACTTTTGACGCGAGCAACGCGTAGCTACGCTCCCCACAATGCAGTTCGGCGAAGCGTGACGTCACCCCATTCAAAGTGAATGGGCAGAAGCGTTGAAGCTTCAACGCACACCGCATAAGAAGACAAGGCAATGTCCACCCATCCATCCATCTTCTCCCGCTTATCCGTGGTCGGGTCGCGGAGGTAGCAGTTCCAGCAGAGAGCCCCAAACTTTCTTTTCCCTGGCCACATCAAC